GGGGGGGGGGGGGGGGGGGGGGTCGAGCGCACAGAGGGGAGCGAGAGAGAAATGGGAGGGTTTTCTGATTTTTAATTAAAAACCTGTTTCAACTTTTTTACGATTATGCCACTGGTGATGTTTTGCTCGTAACTTTCTCGTTACGACTCCGATTCAAGCCTACCGCATGTCTATGGACTCGTCTCAGTATGACCTACGTAAAGGTGCCAGCCACTGCCCCGAAATCCTCCATGATTAAAAATGACCATATTAACCCAACTCTGAGGGCAAAATTGTAAATTCATAATGCTTGAAATTAATTAATTTACTATTCCTTTTATTTTGGGTCAGGATGTTACATACATAATAAAATGAACAATCATCATATTACAAAATCTGCTCCTCAAAACTCATTTCACACAGCGGAAGTCTAACACTCACCAACACTCTCACATTACACTTTGCACTATGTGGAACCACCAACAGGCCTCCTGCTCCTCGCCTTAATTCTCATGCTCACGGTCTCTACCACCTGCAAGATTTTCCCTTACACCATCGAATAGTGCACCGGGTTCACCACAGAACAACCCGGTAAGCTTTCTAAAGCTTGTATGAGTAAACCACTTCCAGAGTATAATATGTCAATTTACACATAATATACAAAGACATGCACTTTCATTAGCATATCACAATCCTTGTATAACCAAGGTAATCATAATCACCAATATCATCACAACCACAATTCTTTTATTTTATTTAAAGAACTATTTCGATCACCACTTGTGACCACACCAAAACTCTTTTATTTCAAAGTAGTTTTCACACGTCAAATATTTGACAGATAGAAGAGAGAATACTATGAACCTCTAATCTATGACAATACAAACCTCCAAAGTAGTGTTCACTCATGATTACACTCCAGTCATGAGTACTAGATGGCGCCAGACTAGAGCTCTAACTATTCTTGGGTCTTGCTCCCAGGGTAATTTATCCCTCATTATTTGCCACGAGAATGCCCACTTGACAAACTCAAAAGGGATTCAAGGTATTCTCACATAAATCCATCAACATCAAAACACCAACACCAAAACACCAACACCAACACCAAAATAATATAAAATGTCGGTTCACATTAAACATTGTTTTATCGCCAAATACACCAATCACAACAATATATATTTATGTGGTTATTCACGAATGAATTTCCTCCATACATCCACAACATATGTTATATGGTTCAACACCAAAATCTCCAATAAAAGAATCAATTCAAAACAAAATAGGTTTCACTTACCTCATGAATCGTTGATGAACAAGTTCATGTGTTTTAAATCAATTAAAACATTTTATAAAATCACAGACAACATGTTAATTATAGCCATTAACATTATCCAAGGTCACATTATAATAGATATAATAATTCGTGATTTTACTCATGATTAGGATGATTTTACTCACTTCTCGTCCAAGCTGCGTTTTCAACAACTTAACGAATCCTCAATCTCAAACCTCAACGAGCAACTCAAACTCCAACAGTACCTAAGCAAAGTACATAACTCAACTTAGCACAAAACTCCAAAATCCAAGATTTTTCATATAATGAAGAAAACGCCCTTTGGACCAACCGAGGATCCAAAGCAATCAAATCTCGTCCAATCAACTTCAAAACTGTGACGTACATGCTATCGGCGTTGAATCATGACCAATGACACCCATTGTCCAAAAGGTCACTATTTGGGTCCTGTGGGTCCCACATGTCTAACCGACACCCCAAAAATTCGCCTTGGGCCCACAACCTCAGATTCCAAATTCGATCGCACCAATGGACTCTAAATAGTCCCGACATCACCCTGCGACAATTTGGGCCCGATCCAACAGTCGAATCATTCTAGATCGCGCGATCGAATGACGATCTCTAGCCTTAACTTTGAAACATAATAACTTCAGATCGGGACTTCCGATCATCAATCTGTCTGAACCTACAGACTCCTGACAACACCAGCTACAACATAACTAAAATTGGACACAATCCAACGGTCCGATCATCTCCGATCAAAGATCCAGATTTGTGAGGCTCTGATCATCGACCAAACGACGTAATCTCAACACTTTAAACATACTACATGCTCAGTAACTCCAGGACTACAATCTGTCTCTAAACCCCTAACTCAGAATCCCCACCACGAGCCGCCACCTCCGGTGGTGGTTCAGGGTACTATTATGGCGACGGACCAACCCTAGAATCGACGGTCAAGACCTACGCCAAAATGTTAGTAATACTGAGTAGAACAACTTTAATTCTTACCTCAAGGTCCGATTCGAAGTGTAAGTGGCTCAAACTGCCGGTTGAAGTTGTTGACTTCACTAATGACGAACCAAATTCATGGCGTCAGCGTGCCTTCACCGCACCTCCGATGGCCCCGATTCTTCTTGGGCTATACTCACGAGATATCAAGCTTTCGATCTGGGTGGGTGGTGTCAATCACCTCCACCGTACACTATCGCAGCAGCCGCCGGAAATCGCCTCTCCGACGAGCTCTCTAACCTCCGGGTTAAGATGAAGTTTCTGAAATCCATAAAACTCCCAACATAGTCACATAACTTAATAAGATTTTCCACAAAAATAATAAAACCAAATATTATTTTTGAGTTTATTACAGTTACTTCCCCGGAAAATAAGAACACTACCTTTATAGAAAAATTAAGAAAAATCATTTTTGTACTTAATTATTTCTGAATTAATTTGAAGGAAAGGATTAGGTGATTATATGATTAAAGTAGGAAATCAATGTAGTCAAGTGACTGATCTTAGCTTATGGTTCAAGCGACAAACGCGTATGCATGCATTCTTGAAATTCAGAGAGGTATCTGAAAATTTGACCTTGTGGTAATCAATTATGGTTCTTCAGTCAAGTGTCTGTTTACAAGTTAAAAAAAGAAAGATATATCAAGTGGCTCTTGGTGCATTTCAACTTTTTAATAGAGAATTCATTAAAATAAAAAGTCTATTAAAAAAGAAGGGGATGAATTGAAAAATTAGAGGGCTTGTAGTTAACAACATTTATTCCTCCACCAGGTCTTAGTTCAATTCCCCCTCCTCTAACGTCATTTTTATTTAGAAAAAAAAAATTACTATTCGAAAATATAGGATCGCATGGATCAACTTACCAATCTTATCTTAAAATGTCACTAGCTTCTCAATATTGAAAGAGATCTAAGTTGGAATTACCCTTTTGACCTAAAAAAAAAAAAAAAGGCTTTTCGTCATTAAAAAATGCTTATGACATTTGTCTTCTCAATATTACTTGAGTGTTGGAAATTTGTTTATTTTATTTATTTATTAGTATTTTATTGATAAGAGTGTTAGAAATATTTAATAAATTATTATAAATAAACCCAATCCTTGACATGTATTTATAAAAAAACCCACACACTATTTAAACATAGAAACACACCCAAAATCAACAATTGTATATTTTTTGGGTGTGTTTATAAATGGATTTTGAGTGTGTGTAATGATGGATTTTGGGTGTGTTTATAAAGTGTTTTGGATGTTGGGTTTTTTTATAATTTCAGCCCCATTTTGGGTGTTTTAGTGAAACTCCCAATATTTAACGCTTGTAAAACTAGTAACTTTCTTGCGTAAGTGAGGGATCAACTACTCAATCTAATTTCAACTTGGAGACATAAAGTTAATGACCAGAAGTAAAAGGAAGCGCAAAAGAGATAAATAACAACACAAGTGATATAGAATGCCACGTGTCAGTCTTAAAACGATTAGGAAAAAATCGCTGGGATTTCTGCACCACAAATACTACAAAAATCCAGAAGCAACTGAGAACCTCAACTTCTACAACATTCTCTCATTGGGTCTTAAATTTTCTGAACACAGACTAAAAAATTACAGGTAGTCTAAAAGTATCTCACTTCTCTTCAATTTCTGAAGTGGTTGAGGAAATGAGAACAGCTTTACTTACCAGTGGCAGCTTTTGCTGGACTTATCAGCCGCAAGCAGTCCCTTCCCAGAGTTTGGTTGTTCAATCTTCATTGGAACATGGAACTTGTAGGACAAAAGCAGAGAATGGTTTGGTTGATGAAGAAGCTGAGAACTTTTCTGGGATTTTGAAGAGAAGATCAGTGCTGCTGTCTGCTGGAGTTTCTTTGTTTTCTTCTGCAGTATTGGGTTTTCCAAGGGAAGGCTTGGCAGTGGTAAAACAAGGTCTTCTAGCAGGCAGGATTCCCGGTCTGTCTGAACCGGATGAACAAGGTTGGTATCCTTCATCTTACACTTCTGATAGCAACAAACAAGAGTTCAAATATCATTAAAAAAAGGAAAAAAAAAAGAGATTATAAGATTTACCCTCTTCTAATTCTAACATTCTTTCTAGTTGTAATATGGCATTGTGTTATGTGCATATTGCATAAATTTGGACATCATAATTATAATATGCAGAGCCCACAATGAGCTAAAAATCATGCATAGACTGCCCTTTCTAAAACTGAACAGTTTACAGGGCTGAAAAAAAAAGGGTCCTGCAAATTACAGTTGCTTTTCTCTGTTTTTGTTTTCAAGTATATTGGTCTCATTCACTGAGAAGTATATGCTTAGACAGGATGGAGGACATACCGCAGACCAGATGAGAAGTCTGGAGGTCATGGCGTTGGTTGGAGCCCTATCATCCCTTATCTCTTTTCAGTTCCTCAAGATTGGGAAGAGGTAGCAATCTAATCCATCAAACTTGGGAGCTTAAATTGGTACATGATACTTGTATTGCTAAACAAAATGAAAGATTTAAACATGAGCTTAAGTTTGCACATGCTTTACCTTCTGTCTGAAAACTGCCTCAAGTTTACTTATCTGTCTGCTTTACCATGCAACAGGTTCCTGTATCAATAGCAGATCTAGGTGGTACAGAGATCGATTTGAGATTCGGTAGCTCCAAGGAGGGGCGCCTCTCTGTCATTGTTGCCCCTGTCCTGAGATTTGCAGATAGTGAGTTTTGATACAATCTAGTTTTTCTCTTTTCTTTCTGCAATTGGGGAAGTGCCCTTGGATGCATGTCCCGAAGTCAGTCTCTAGATATTGATTTTTAAACTCTGCTTGTTATGCCCAGATCTTGATGGAGATGCCACAATTGAAAAAATTGGACGTCCAGAGACAGTGATCAATGCATTTGGACCGGAAGTTATTGGGGAGAACGTTGAAGGGAAGGTTATGAGCATAAATGTTGTACGAGACTCTGGAAGAACATATTACCAGTATGAGTTGGAGCCGCCTCATGCTCTGATCACAGCAACTGCAGCTGGGAATCGCCTGTACTTGTTTAATGTGACCGGAAGTGGTAAGGATACGTATACTCTTTTGGCATGCTTTTTACTATGAATTTTTTTTATTCAATAGCCATAACTGAAGACAAAATTAACTGTATACTTGGTTTGTATTTTGTAGGTCTTCAGTGGAAGAGGCATTACAAGGATTTGAAAAAAATAGCCAACTCCTTTCGTGTCGTCTAACTGAGATTTTTTTGTCACCTGAGGTAGCATAAAGATAAAGTTCTCCATTTTGATTTTCATACTTGTAATATACACAAGGGGAAAAGAATGAAAGTCTGTGCAGCAAAAACGAGTTCTTTGTAACTGAAAACCAGCACAATTGTGTTGAATGTGCAAAATACATTTTGCTAAAGGATTTTTAAGAACCCTTGCAGTGATTTCATGTTCAGAAGTATCCAGAAGCTGATGCTACTCCAGTTTTTATTCAATGCCTAAACAATCCAAGATTTGACGACTCCACTTTTGTTTTTGACAATGGTTGAGCCAGACATTCTGATGCAAATCAATTCTTTGCACATTATATCAGGTTGTTTGAGCAACTGGTGCCTAATTTCATTGGAATGAAGCATCTTGTTTTAACACCAAAATTAAACTCAGTCAAACTCTACTCTTGACATGAACTAATGGGACGGGAGCTACCATCATGCAAAATCCTCGTCTTAAGCCACTGCACAATTTGTATGTTTGAGTTGCGCTTATGATTTGAATCAATTTTGGTAATTGCTTAGTGGTCATGATCTGCCACAGAGCAATGATTTACCAAGAAGAGGCACACGAAAGACATGCTATGTGCCGCTGGCCACAAATGCACTGTGAGCAGGTGTCTTTTGAAAGCCTTCATTTACCATGGCAATCCTCATCCTTTCAGCCGTCTCCCATCTATCGGAAGCAGCATAAATATTTGACAGAAGCACATAATGGAAATGATCACCCGACCCAATATTTGAATCTAGGGTGCTAATATCCTTTACTACCTGTTCAGTCATCTCCATATCCATATAAATCCGGCAAGCCCCCAGCATAGCCCCCCAAACCATGCCATTGGGTTTGATTGGCATTCTCTTGATTAAAGCATAAGCCTCTCTTAATCTTCCTGCCCGTCCCAAAAGGTCAACCAGGCATCCATAATGCTTAATCCCTGCTGCCAAACCATATTTCTCCATCTTGGAGAAAGTTTCTATGCCTTCATCCACTAAACCTCCATGCGCACAAGCCGACAGAACAGAAATAAAGGTTATGTCATCAGGCCTTTCATTTGAATCTTCCATTATGTGAAATAGTTCAAGCGCCTCCTTGCACTGTCCATGAATGGCCAGACCTGAAATCATAGCATTCCAACAGACACTGTTCCTCTCAGTCATCCCCTCAAAGATCAACCTGGCGTTGACCAAATCGCCACATTTTGCATACATGTCTACAAGTGCATTCAGAACAATCTGACTAAGCTTTATCCTTTTATGACCTAACATGTTGTGTATATTCTTGCCAACATCTAATTGCCCAGACTGAGCACATGCTGATAAAACGCTCACAACAGTAACTTCATCTGGCTCAAAGCCTTCAGCTTGCATCTTCCCAAATGCTTTCAAAGCCTCCTCTGAAAACCCATTTTGTGCATACCCGGATATCAAAGAATTCCAGTTCACTAAGTTCCGGACTGGGATTCTATCAAAGATGAACTTGGCCTCCCTAACATCACCTTTCTTGCAATACCCGGAAATCATTGATGACCACACAAAGAAATTGCGCTGTGGCATTGCCTCAAAAACTTCCCTTGCTGCCCCCATCTCCCCATTGCTACAGTACCCCTCAACCATCACAGTCCACGTAACCACGTTCTTCAACTCAGGTGGAACCTGATCAAAGAACCGCCTAGCAGTCACCGTGTCCCCACTTCGCGCAAACCCAGCGATCATCTCAACCCAAGTCACAGATGTCCGCATTGACATTTTCTCAAACAAGAAAACTGCAGACGCTGTATCCCCACTTCTCAAGTACCCTCCAATTATTGCATTCCAAGCCACCACATTTCTCTCAGGCATATAATCAAACACTTTCCGGGACTCAAAAACATCCCCGCATTTCGCATACATGTCAACTAACGAGGTACCAACCAACACATCACAATTCATACCAGACTTGATAGACTCTGCGTGCAATGCCTTCCCATGATTTATGGAGGAAAGAGAAGCACAAGCCTTGAGAATCAAAGGGAGTAGGCCTACAATGTAGATTCCTTGATGCCGAACTCGGGTGTAAACCAGAAGCGCTTGTCTAGGTGATCCTTGAGAGAGGTGATTTTGTACAAGGTAAGACCAATTTGCAGGACTTAGGTTTGAATTTGTGTTGCAGAAGAACTCATGTCTTTGGTTGACGTGCTTTTGATTTGAGACACCAGACATGGATAAGGCCATGAAACCAAGCTAAAACCCACAAAAAATACGCCCCAGAAAAATAATTGAAAAATAATGAATTTTTTGTCACCAAATCCACAAACTATCATGATACCCAGAAAAGTTTAACCCCCAAAACCCAAGTTTGAGTCGAAGTTGTTCATGGAGTCTGAGCCATTTGTGATTGGCTATAACTTTGGTTTATTGAATTGGGTATCGGTTTGCAAGTTCCTTTTTCTCCCAGGCAAATTGATGAGGCCGATTGTGGGAACCGAATTAAATCACCCTAGGTCAAATAATTCCTTCCATTTGGGGATTATTTGACCTAATTGAGAGTTACTCAATTTAATTGGTAATTACCTAATTAAAATGGGGATTGATTTGATTCCTACCCTAATTAGGGATTTGATTTAAATCAGATAAATCAAATCCCTAATTAATCAAATCTCACCTAATCGGGGAGGAATAATTCCTTTACATCTACAAAATTATTCCTCTGAAATCCTAGCCTCCGAGGCTCCTATAAATACCTAGCTACACACAAGGGTTAAGGTACGTCTAAATTCCTACTGAAACTCTGCAGAAATTATCCTTCACAAACCCTAGCCACCATCTTCTTTCTCTCTCTCTCACACAAGGCTCCGGCCTCCACACACGGCTCTGGCCACCCGGTTTTCCTTGAAACACCCATCCTAACTTAGGCATCGGAGGGCCTTTGGCCAACACCCCCCGGGTGTGGTCCTTTACTCCGATCTGTTTTGCAGGGAGAGAGAGGTGTGAAGAAGACGAAGGAATCTTTAGGCGAATATTCCCGTGGGAGGAAATTTGCTCCCACATTCATAATGCCTGAACTGCATAGGGTAGTCAATTTGAAAATTCAGCTTTACTTTTTCAATCAACCATGGTCGATATAAGACGTTCGAAGAGTAACACCACCACGACGGGCCCGTCTCATGGTTTCGTGGTGGAAGCCTCTCTGCAACCTCACGGTATTGTGGCTGCCAACGCCTTGCGTCCGCCTCCAAGTGCTCCGCAGCCACCTCCAACTGCCGGAATTGCAGAACAGCCGCCGCAGACAGCTGCTGGAATTGCAGAACAGCCACCACGTGGTCCTGTGACCTGCACAGCCTTGCAGCTGCAAGCGCCAGCGGCCGGAGCTGCTCTACCGCGCCCTCCTGCTCAGCCACACCACTCAACTGCCGGACTTGCTGCACAGCCCTACGGCTACTTTGGTGCCTCCCCAGCCTTGGAGCAGATCCTTTCTCTCCCTCCTCTACCACCACACTTGACGTGTGCACCTGTGTACGCGTCTAATGGAGCCCTAGCCCACGTGCCATTGGGCCCAATGCACACCTCTGGTCAGGTGAACCTTAACTCACGGGTTGATCAACTTACACAAAGAGTCGACGATCAGAACAACCTGATTGGCCAGCTACTCAGGCAAATCAACTTGAACCAAGGCCCTAACCTTGGATCCCGTGACGAGGAGAGGAGGACGCACGAGCATGTCAGCGAGCAGTTCGAGAGGTCCCAAGCCGGTCAGGCAAACGGGCAGGGGAGAGATAAGCCAGTCAGGCAAACGGGCAGGGGAGAGAACAAGATCGTGCTGATGAGACGCAGATATCTGCAAGTCGTACTCTGAGCCGGTTGACGATCCGTTCGAGGTTAGGTCCAAGGACCAATGTACGCGAAAGGCTGGGCCCACAGTCCAATGTCCATGCCCGCTTGGGCCCA